ACACCCCTTTGTGGCTGAGCTCTTTGTCCTTTTTACATTAATTTTTCTTTCTCTTTAACACATTCCTAGCTTCTTTAGTCTTCAATTTCGTCCATTCACCTTGCTCTATGCATGTGCTATTCATTTCAAGCCCAAAACTGCTTCAAAATGCACCAAAATGCATCTTATTGCTTTATAAGGCCTATGGACCTACAAACACACGAAAATAGCTTAAAATACATAATTAACTAAGAAATAACAACATAAATGCATGAGAACAAGCTAACTCAGTCGCATAAATATGCTCCTATCAAGGGTTTTCTGGTTTCCTCCAAAGTATAAGGCCGACTCAAGAATTTGAGGATCAAAATAAGTCCATCAAATCTAGAGTACGTTCGACCCTGATGATATGAGATACTTTTTTTGTTGACAAAGTGGTGGATATATCGGCACATGTTCTGTTACGCTTGTCTCCACATGCTTCCTTGTATCCTTCTCACTTGCCCTATCTGTTCCTCAAGCAGATGTGGTATCTTCTCTGGAAGCATAAGATGTTGAAGATGAGTACTCGAGAGCAATGCCAGGTAAGTAATCAGGCAAGGGGTTCTAGGCAGTCAGTTCCTGACTGGAAGCTTGATTCCAAGTGTTGACTGATTGCTCTCTTTCTCCTTGTCTTGCAGGTAAAAACAGGACAAAGGAAAAGACAGGGAAAAAGCATGATATGGGAAACTCTTGCTTTTAACCTTGATGATATGAGATACTCTTGCTCTGGTGTGGCTTGTTTGCAGAGGTATTATCGAGGGGAAAAGAAGCTGAGTATTTTGAGAGACTCTGCTAAGAGTGCCCTATCAGATGTGAAGAAAAGTTGAGCATTTTTTTTTTATTTGCAGGTCTGCCTGGCTGTGGAGGATGAAGGTCGACATATATAGGAATTGTCCCAACAGCGAGTAGTAACGTTGTTCCTTTACCCTTCTCGGTCATAGCAATGTAGTGGGAGCTGCAAGATTCATGTGTTTTAACCTTTTCAGAGCACTTTGAAAAAGTGGTCTGTGGTAATCTGGAAAGTTGATGTTGCGTGTGAAGATTGCAGACAAGCTTTATCCAAGGAAATCTAGCTCTCGAAGTTCAGAGAGCGGTGCCTCTTTGGTTTTCGAACAAGCAATCCTGTCGGGGATCTAGCTCTCGAGATTCAGAGAACTGTGCCTCTTCCATTTTTAAGAAAGCAATCCTGTTGGGAGTCTGGCTCTTGAGATTTGAAGAGCGGTGCCTCTTCGATTTTTGAGCAAGTAATCTTGTTGGGAGTCTGGCTCTCGAGATTCAGAGAGATGTGCCTCTTCGATTATTAAGCAAGCAATCCTGTTGGAAGTCTGACTCTCGAGATTCAGAGGGTGGTGCCTCTTCAATTTTTGAGCAAGTAATCTTGTTTATACCATACTTAGGGCCTCTGTATTTAAACCTCATATAAATACTCGGGGGACTCAAATGTAATTATGTAATGAATGAAGGGGCAAATATGTAATAAGTGATGAGCCCTTATTCTATAAAATGACTCATCACTCTCCTCATTAAGGAGGCCAAGATTGAGGTCAAAATGTTTAGGCCATGGGAAGAGAGAAAATAGGCTAGAGAGTACACTGCCTCTAGCCTTCTTGTATATTCACCATTTAGAGTGAAACAATATCAACATCAGTGTGGACGTAGCTCAAACATTGGGGTGAACCATGATACATCTTGTGTTCTTTACTTTCTTGCAGATTCACAGTCGAATTTACGTTGTTCCAAGACCTTTCCGGTTTTGTGCATCAACAACAACTATATTTAAATAATAAAATAACATCTGACAATTCGGTTAACAATGTGACAACCCGTCCCTAATTCTACGATTTTATAAATTTTAAAAGTGTGAATTTACGAAAATGCCCTTAGAGGCAAGGGTATTGACTTTCTTTTACCAATGTATAGTGAGACGTACGAAATATTCTTTTAGCGTATTCCTGTAGTACTTGACAATACAGCCGCGTAGGCATAAGTAGAAGTGGATTGGAGTAATGATATTACCATTTATTTTTTTTATATAATTTCATAAGTACCATTATATTATTTAAGATTTTCTTGGGGTAAGAAATAAAAGGAAGGATAAGAAGAAACAGAGGGGAGAAGGGAAAAAGAAAGAAAGAAGATGGGCACTGCCTAATCAGAAATGAGGAGAGAGGGAGAGTAACGAATGGGAGAGAAGAACCAGGAGGGAAAGGAGAGAAGAAGAAAAGGACAGAACCAAAAACTGGTCTTCCTTGACCCGTGTGACCCGGCCGACGGGAACCATAGAAATCGATGGTTTCCCGGCCAAATTCCGGTGAAATAACCCAAACCACCACCTAGAAACAATCCCACGACCTCCCCTCTTCCTTTTTCATCCATTAATTGGTGGATTTTAAGCTTAGGTTTTGTGATTTTGCACCGACGTTCGAGGGCACCCACGGTGGCAATCCGCCATTTCTGAAACAATTCCATACAATTACCACCGTCAATTGACTTCCCTTGAGGTCTAGAACAAAGCCCAAACAACCTTGGAGGCGGTGGAGCACCGAAGGTGACGGATCAAAGTCACCAAATCTAGGGTTTTAAGCAGGTTTTAGCAAAATTGGGGCTTTTCCAAGCCAAATTGGACTTGGTCACAGGTATGAAAGTTGTTCTACTCACTGAGATCTTCATGAAGTTTGAGAATTTTTAGAAATAGTTGAATTTTTCGGCGAGTCGGGGCAACCGACCGCCACTCTCGACGGCGTGTGGCCAGGGGACTGTCAATGTTATCCTTAGGCTAAATTAGATGTCTTGAGTTCAATTTTGGCGATTGTATATCGTAGGTTGATCGTTTGGACCTAAACTCATTAAGGTACGTTACTTGGTAAAGATATGAATCGACGATCCAACAGTTGGATCATCACCAAACTTTAATATGTTATAATACATAATATTTGAGGACCATAGAAACTTACAGATAAGAAATCCGACGTACGGATTTTCCCGAAGTGGATTTGTAAGTTTATAAATTAAAATGTTGACCGCCATTTAGTTTTGGCAATTGTCGGAGATCCGACCGTTAGATCGTAATGAAACTTTAGGATATTGTTCTAGAAGTATAATGTGGATCTTTGGAAGCAACGGATCTGAAATCCGTGATACAGATCTTAGGGATACGTTTTTATGTAAATTATGTATTTTATCGGTCAGAACTCTGAGATGTGATTTGATAATTGGTCATAAGCGACGATGGTTCGTGATGTCTCGATATGCGTGCTAGGGAGTTGTAGCACGGACCTCAGGTGAGTGGGTCTTTTCCTTTCTATCATGTATTATATATATATATATATATATATATATATATATATGATTGACAATTCCATAAACATTTATAAATTGAATTATTGCATATAATTATTGTGAATGCTTTAAAATACTATTGTGAACTACGAATGACTTGGTCCCTGTTTAGGGTACGTAGGCAGTCTAACGAGACGTTAGATGCAACCATACAAGAAGTGAGACTAAATAATTGAGGCAATAGTCTTGTTTAGGGAATTGAGTAATGTGAGGGACATTGGTGGAAAATGTGAGAGTTAACCTTATGACTTGGTGATTAATTGTTGTTCATAAATCAATGTGTGAAGAATCAAGAATTTGAAGTAAGGAAACGTAAATAATGATAGTTAATTAAACTAGTGTCTAGTTGGGCTTATTACCAATAATTATTCCCCAAAATAAATAGTTCGAGAGTAGAGCGTTACAGCTTATGCATTTTTATGCCTTTGATTTCACATTGATATACTTTTGATATACTTTCACATTGATCGGTGTTGTGGTATAATTATGGATTTACTATTGATATACTTTTGATTTCACATTGATATGTGATATGATTTTTCTGGAAACTATACATGTGTTATAGCGAGGGGTTATAATGTTTTATATGGTTTCTATTAAAATGTTATTTTTAGGGCCACTCACCTCTTGTTTTCACCCTTCAGGTTTTATTAGCTGAGCTTTTTTATCATCGAAGGTTCGTGGCGATTCTTAGTATTGAAGATTCTTTTGAGGGTACAATTTTTAATTCACTCTACTGTACTTACTTATACTCTAACGTCACGTGTCAAGTGGGTTCATTCCCGCTCACCAGCGTACTTTGGTATTTAGGCACTCTTAGGTTTAAATTTATTCACATTTTTCCACATTATCACACTGTATGGCTTCGTCACCTCCTAGGTGTCGGCTAGCACATCTCGATTCGGAGTCCTAGTGCACATTCCGAGTCGGGGTGTGTAAAAAAAAGTATAAAATTTAACATAAGATTTCAAATTATCACATCAACTATCAATTGTAATTTAACATCTCGTCTTAGCATATGCTTGCGGCCTGCGGCGGTTGGCGCTTGATGCCTTTTATAAGGTCATCTCCAACCGAACGGTCCAGAGGGCCAAATGGCCGAAAATAGTTCGAAAACCGTCTCCAACCGAGGGTTAGTGAGCCTCTGGATTCTAAAAGGGCCAAAGGCCTAATCGGATAGGCCAGAAATTCTAGTTTTTCTGTCGGATATAACAGACATGAATATATTTAATATAAATATATTCATGTCGATTATATCTAACAGGAATTCTAGGCCAAATTTCAAATGCAACATCTAACAGTTATTTTTGAATTTTTTTTTACAGTTTTATTTTTTATTTATTATATATTTTTACACAATTTTTTTCCTATAACTTCTATTTTACAAAATTTGTTTCATATATTTTTTTTTAAATTCTATTTTTTCCTATAACTTCCTAAGCCATTATACAACATTAAATTAAATTAAGTAACATGAAACAACATTTTAAATAATAAATTATATTTTACCTTATGACCATTTGATCTTCGGTTGGAGATAATTTTTTATCACATGGCTAAAACGAATCTTATGAAAGCAAATATAACCCTATACTATTTATTAAAATATTATCTTGGAGTTTAACCCTCTAGCGTTGAAGATGGCCTAACGTTGCGTTTAGATATTCTCCCCCCACCATGGATAATAGTAACACAGCCACAGAATACACGAGGAAGAAGAAGTTATAGTAATGGTTGTTCCATCGGTTGAGCCCCCGCTAAAAACCTCACCAAACCTTTGATAAAATTGATGCACCTCCGTCTCTTCAATCCGCGATGACTCTCGTACCCAGTCTTCAACTTTACCCGACGAACTTGTTCGACTCGTTCCAGAGATCCTTGTCGAAATTCAATGGCCCTCACATCCAGTTCTTTAGGTACGGCCACGGCTCCTCAACTCCTTTCAATAAGCACACTTTCTATGCCACCCACTCCATTATCAGCTCTCCTGACCAAAACCCAGTAAGGAAATCGAATTTTGTTGGGAGAAATCGATCCATTTATCAGTATAAACCGAGGAGGAATTTGTGTACGAGTAGTTGGATTGATAAATGGAATGAATCCCACAAGCGTAATCGCCTGAAACCGCCTCAGGCTGTGTTGGATTATCAGAGTAGTGAAAGTGGGAATTTGAGTGGTTCGGGAAATGGCGGTGGTAGTACAATGCAGAAGATTGTGGAGAAATTGACGAAATTCGGGTACGTTGACGATAGTAATGAGGGTAAAGGGGAAGCGAGGGAGAGAGTGATTGAGAAGGGTTCTGTGGAGGATATATTTTATGTTGAGGAAGGAATGCTGCCAAATTCGCGAGGTGGGTTCTCGGCGGAATCACCATTAGGGATAGAGAATGTGTTTGGAAGTGATGGTAAGGTGAGGTTTCCGTGGGAAAAGCCGGCAGAGGAAGAGAAGCAAGATCAGGGTTCGGTGAGGAGGAAGAGTAGGACTTCAGTGGCGGAATTGACTCTTCCGGAATCAGAGTTGAGGAGGCTGAGGAATTTGACATTTCAGAAGAAGCACAAGACTAAGATTGGAGGTGCGGGTGTTACTCAAGCCGTGGTGGACATGATCCACGAGAGATGGAAGACTTCAGAGATTGTGAGGCTGAAAGTTGAAGGTCCACCTGCTCTTAACATGAAGAGAATGCATGAGATATTGGAGGTTTGTTTCATATTACTTTCGTTACAACTTTGTGTTTCAGCTTTGTTTTCTCATCTTTATATTAAACACATCACGCAGTGGTGATTATTGATATGATATCAAGTGACAGGACATATAGGGATAAAACACAGAAACTATACATAAAAATGTATTTTGTATCTCTGCAATAATTTCAGGTCCCGAAGAAAATGGACGTTTGCCTCCAGTTTAACAGAGAATTGAGCTAGAATTAGAAGCTCAAGAACTTTCCTTCGATTTCGATCTACAAACTGAACATGAATATATAAATTATACCTGTACCTTAGTGCGTTTGAAATGGTCTGGATTAAACCTTTCGTGTGATTAAGACAAAAATAAAATAAAAAACAAAACAAAAGGAGAAATCAAAAGTAAAAGTTTTTAGAATAGCATGTTTAAGAATTTCTTGTTTCACATTCAATTTACATATTTGGTTTTGTTTTCTTGTTGTTATGATCAGCGAAAAACTGGTGGTTTGGTGGTCTGGAGGTCTGGTACTTCTCTTTCTTTGTACAGAGGTGTGAGCTATGAAGTTCCTTCAGTGCAACTAAACAAGCGCATTTACAAAAAAAAAGAAATTTCTTCTTCTACATCTTTTCCGAACGTTGCTGATAAATCTTTGGGAGACTTTGTTGAGCTTGCTTCTTATGGTAATGTAAATACACCCCAAGAAAAGCCGGAGAGTACTTCCCTGGAGAAGAAAGACACAGACCAATTGCCAGAAGTGAAGTATGAAGATGAAGTAGACAAACTTTTAGATAGTTTAGGTCCTAGATTCAAAGATTGGCCTGGATGTGATCCATTACCTGTAGATGCAGATATGCTTCCAGGGTTAGTTCCTGGTTATGAACAACCCTTCAGAGTACTTCCGTATGGTGTCCGATCTTCCCTTGGTTTACAGGAGGCAACATCTTTGAGAAGACTGGCTAGGGTTCTTCCACCACATTTTGCTTTAGGTATGCAATTTCATGTGTTGCACATAAGCGACACGATGATGATTTGTAATGTTTAAATTTTGTGCATAGGTCGAAGCAGACAGCTCCAGGGTCTGGCAGTGGCCATGGCTAAATTATGGGAACGAAGTTTGATAGCAAAGATTGCACTGAAACGTGGTGTTCAGCTGACTACTAGTGAGCGAATGGCTGAAGACATCAAGGTAATAGAACCCGGTCAATTTATGTCTCATCAGGTTGTAATTATTTGTCAAGCTGCACCTTGCCACACACTTTCATTGCCGTCAACCACTAAACTCAAAATTGGTATGCTGAGTTTCTAATCAGTGGTTAAATAATTTCTTACAAGTTTAGTTATTAAGTCTAGCCATCAGTATCTATCATGTGAAAATTTAGTAGGCAAAAGGGAACTGGAATACGATATTCTTGACAACATGCATTGATAGATGTAATGCATTTGAGAGAAGGTCTCATTTGAAAGTTCCTTATTTCTTTTTAGTGCAATTGTAGTCTTTTAGTAGTAGCTTTATAGTGTTTGAGTAGTTCATTGGTGATGTCCATGTAGTACATTTTTAATAATCGAGTCTAAATTTCTTTGGCAAAGTGCTTACTAAGTGAAATGCTATGTTGCTGTGTTCTTTCCTTCCATAAATATCATTCTGACTGTTGTGAAGTCAATGTTCTTTTCAGTGTCTATTTTGTAGGAATTAACCAGATAAATTCTTAAGCATAAACCTACAATTCTATGTCCTGTTTCCTTGAGAAATTCTTTATAAATGCACCAAAGAAAGTAGTTTTCCTTGTTCTTCTAAATTCTTTCTTTTGGTGTTCAACATTTTGTCTAGATTGTAAATCTTGATGATTTGGAATCTGGATGGCATTTCTGTAGATAGTTTATGGTTTTACGATGAGATTACAGAGCAAAGCAGTGTGATTGAGTTCATATTAGAGGTTAAAATATTACTGAATATAACAGGCATGGCTTGATAACATGGAATATTAAAGGGTAAAATATGACTTCACATATTATTTTTTACACAACTAGTAATAATATTCTTCATCATTCATATTTTAACATCTGAGTTCATGTTAGCTAATGAGTTTATAATTACAATTAAATCGTATTTATTTGCTGCAGAGATTGACTGGGGGTGTGCTGCTATCTCGAAACAAGGACTTCTTGGTCTTCTATAGGGGGAAGAATTTTTTGTCTCCAGAAGTCACTGAAGCGTTACTGGAAAGGGAGAGATTGGCGAAATCCCTTCAAGATGAAGAGGAGCAGGCAAGGTTGAGAGCGTCAGCTATGGTTATACCAAATGTTGAACAAGCTCAACACTTTGGTACAGCTGGTACACTTGCAGAGACTTTGGATGCAGATGCTAAGTGGGGAAAGATGATGGATAATCATCATAAGAAAAAAGTGATGCAAGAAGCAGACATATTAAGGCATGCCAATCTTGTCAGAAAGCTTGAACGAAAGCTTGCCTTTGTAAGTTTCCAGAAACTTTGGATTGCTAATATAAGAAACATCTTGTAGTTTCAGGCTAAAGTTTGAATACTTATTTTGATATCATGCCCTTCCAGTGCTAGAATTTCCCTTCGGTTGAACCTTTCAAATTTTTGCCTGTCAGGCTGAAAGAAAGTTAATGAAAGCTGAACAAGCCTTATCTAAGGTAGAGGAGTGTTTGAAACCATCTACGCTACAAGCTGACCCAGACAGCATTACTGATGAAGAGAGGTTTATGTTTCGTAAGCTTGGTTTACGGATGAAGGCTTTCTTACTTCTTGGTATAACAATTCTCCATTTACCTATTTATCTTGTCTGCGATTTTATTTTGATCTACTTATGGAAAGTTGACTTACTCAGGTAGACGTGGAGTGTTTGATGGTACAGTGGAGAATATGCATTTGCACTGGAAATACCGGGAATTGGTCAAGATAATGGTGAATGCTAAAAGTTTTGAGCAGGTGAAAAAAATTGCATTGGCACTTGAAGCTGAGAGCGGTGGTGTCTTAGTTTCAGTGGACAAAGTTTCCAAAAAGTTTGCTATAATTGTGTACCGGGGAAAGGACTATCACCGACCTTCTACATTGAGGCCAAAGAATCTCTTGACAAAAAGGAAAGCGTTGGCACGCTCTATTGAGATCCAACGACAGGAGGTATCACTCTAAATTTGAATGCTAATTGTTCAGCCATCCTGGTTTTATCAGTTAGTTAATATGACCATAGCTTTATAAAGGTTGCCAATGAGTATTCAATGCTTGGTTTTAGCAGTCTGATCTGTTTATCCCCTTTCATCTTTCCCCATCATAACATACCAAACTTGTTTAATTTTGCGAACAATAATGTTCCTAACTTATGTTTTTTCTCTGTTGAACAGGCTCTTCTAAAACATATTTCAGTGGTGCAGAGTAAGGTGGACACACTTCGATCCGAAATAGTATGCCCCTAACGCTTTAGTTATTGCTACATCTAACTATTTCACTTGGCACGCAAAATCTATAAATATCTTTTCTTTTTTTCCTTTTTCGTTCTAAGTGGCTTTCACATTGATAGGAACAAATGGATGTTGTGAAAGAGCGTGGAGATGAAGTATTGTACAACAAATTAGATTCTTCTTATCCTACTGATGATGACGATGATTCCGAGGTTATTATTTGCTTGATCTTCTCTGTTTACTCTCTTTGTTAGTTAAACCAGCAGTTCTGACATCTTAATCCTTTTGTTATTCTTTGAAGGAAGAAGATGTTTATCTTGAAACGTACAGCGCAGAAGATAATGGTGAAGATGAAGGCAATTACTCAACTCATGATCCTCACCTGGAAACGAATTTTCCTTATCATATCCAGAATCAGGCTTCTCAAACAGAATTGGAAGTTCCTCAACAATATGTGCATGCAAGGCCCGAGGGCTCACTAGACGATGATTACCAAGATGAAGAAGATAACTCCCTACAATGATGGAATCAGCTGAACATAGACCAATGGTACAACGGCATTCAGAAATAGTCACGATGGTTGCTCGTCACATGTACAGATAATTTGGGCAGGCCGGCATCCATGTAACTCTACGGTAGTTTTTTGGTACGCAAGTTTCTGTCACGATCTCCCATGTCTTTTAATTCTTGGACTAGAAATAACTCGTACAGCGGAATAAGTCGTCTTAAATTGTGGGAGGAGTTAGATACAGCTGGTTTTCAGGGCATATTGATGTTTTCGGGCCCCATACTTGTTCACAGTTTTGCTGGAGAAGCCTTCTATGTAAAATGAATACGATTATTAAGTCACAGTGGATATTTCATCACCTATTCTGGTCACAACTTTACAAAATTTCAGCATTTGATGGTGATACAGGGCTCGTTTGAAAGGACTTTTAAAATTTCTGGTAGTGTTTTTTGTAAAAATATTTTTGATACAATTTAGTAATGGTCTAATGGATCCTGGAAAAGCACTTTAAGTGCTTCCTACAATAAGTACATATCTAGTGCTTTTTTCGAATGACACTTAAACTGCTTTTAGAACTCAAAATAAATTTCACTAAAAGCAATTTCAGTCGTTTTAAAAGTACTTTCAAACGAGCTCATAATTATTATTTGGTTTCATATAGATTGGGATGTATCCATTTTCAAATCTATGTCGGTAACTACCTTATTTTTTCGATATGGGTCATTAAATAAGGTTTGCTATTATTTATAAAGAAGTGATATTGGGAAAGGAAATTCAAACACGAAAACTTGAGTGCAAAAATGAATATTTTTTAACTAACTGAGTTACAAGCGATTGTGTATATCAATGTGATTAGACATGTATTTAGCAAAAGAAACTTTTGAGTTATTGCATGCAGGAAATATCAAACATGGTCTTCATCATTCAGATTATACAAATTCCAGAACTAATCAACTCATCACATTAGTTATAGTCTTTATCAATTTCACTTGACTACTAGAAATTCCTGATTATTATGAGTCTAATCCATTGATGAACAAAAATTAATTGGGTAAATTACATAGTAGTCCCTCAGATTTGAGGTCTATTACAATCTCATACCAACATCTTTAAAATATTTCACTTTCATACTTTACATAACTCCGCCTATGTCTTACATGGCCGGTCCCAAGCCCGGATAAAGGAGGAGGGGGAGGGCGTCAGGTAGTCGACAGCCGGCACTCCATGATCACGTCGAATCCTTATGAAAATGAATCCAGAACAAAATCACGCTAAAGCTAGGGCGTCACCCGTAAGTGGCGCGCTGTGTGGCCCGAGCACAGTGATAAGTGAGCAAGGGTCGCTGTATCTCCATCAGCACCCGGATGCAGTGTTAAATGAGCAAGGGGGCCATAGAAACTTCTTTTCGAACGACTCCACTCAAAGTTGTTTGGGAGCATATGCTCCTATCAACTTTACCCGGGACACACAAAAGAAGTACTTTGATCCTATTAGACGGGGGAGGGTGAAGAAGCTAGGACAGAAGGGTAGAGTTCAAGAGAGCAAAATGCGTTTAGGAACGTGGAATATAGGAACCTTAACGGGAAAATCTATGGAAGTAGTGGAAGTTATGGTGAGGAGAAGGATAAATATTATGTGCCTACAAGAAACTAAGTGGGTTGGTAGTAAGGCAAAGGATCTAGAAAACTCAGGGTTTAAACTTTGGTATTCGGGCACAAATAGAACGAGAAACGGTGTTGGCATCATCGTGGACAAGACCTTGGTACACAAGATGTTGTAGATGTCAAGAGGGTAGGAGATAGAATCATGGCAATCAAGATTGTAATAGGACAAGAACTTATCAATGTGATTAGTGCGTACGCACCTCAAGTAGGGTTGGATACGAGTTCGAAGGAGAAATTTTGGGAAGATCTTGGAGACTTGGTGCAAGGAATTGCTCAGACGGAGAAGTTATTTATAGGAGGAGATTTAAATGGACACGTGGGCAGGGAGACAGGCAACTATGGAGGTTTTCATGGTGGCCATGGTTTTGGGGAGAGAAACGAGGATGGGGAAGCTATCTTGGATTTTGCAATGGCATATGATCTCTTCTTAGCCAACACCTTCTTTAAGAAGAGAGAAGAACATGTGATCACCTACAAGAGTGGGTCGTCAAAAACACAAATAGATTTTCTTCTAATGAGGAAAGGGGATCGTATAACTTGTAAGGATTGCAAAGTTATACCAGGAGAGAGCGTGGCTAATCAACATCGCTTGTTGGTGATGGATGTACATATCAAAAGAGTAAGACAAAAGAACAAGACTTGGAAGTGCCCAAGGACTAGATGGTGGAATCTAAAAGAAGAAAAACAAGTCCATTTTCAAAGAGAAGGTAATCACCCAATGTGTGTGGGATAGAGAGGGGGAAGCTAGCCAAATGTGGGATTCCATGGCTAGTTGTATCCGAAAAGTAGCAAAAGAGGTATTAGGAGAGTCCAAGGGCTTTGCCCCACACCAAAAGGAATCTTGGTGGTGGAATGAGGAGGTACAAACAAAGGTGAAGGCTAAGAAGGAATGTTGTAAAGCCTTATACAAGGAGAGGACCGATGAAAATGGTGAAAGGTATAGAAAAGCGAAGCAAGAGGCGAAGAAAGCTGTCAGAGAAGCTAAGTTAGCGGCTTACGACGATATGTATAAACGACTAGATACCAAAGAAGGAGAGTTGGATATCTATAAACTATCTAGAGCAAGGGAAAAGAAGACAAGGGACCTAAACCAAGTGAGGTGCATCAAGGATGAGGATGGAAAGGTTCTTGCTACAGAGAACGCGGTTAAAGACAGATGGAGAGGTTATTTTCATAATCTTTTCAATGAAGGACATGAAATGAGTGCTTCTTTAGGGGAGTTGAGTAACTCAGAAGAGTGTAGAAACTACTCTTTTTATCGTCGAATCCGGAAGGAAGAAGTGGTTGTAGCTTTGAAGAAGATGAAGCATAAAAAAGCAATAGGCCCAGACGATATACCAATCGAAGTGTGGAAACTTTTGGGAGAGACAGGTATAACATGGCTCACTGACCTTTTCAATAGGATTTTGAAAACGAAGAAGATGCCAAATGAGTGGCGAACGAGCACTTTGGTGCCTATCTACAAGAATAAGGGCGACGTACAAAATTGCATGAACTATAGGGGTATTAAGCTAATGAGTCATACAATGAAGCTCTGGGAGAGAGTCATTGAGCATAGATTGAGGCAAGAGACACGGGTTTCGGACAACCAATTCGGGTTCATGCCAGGGCGCTCAACCATGGAGGCAATCTATCTCTTACGAAGATTGATGGAAAGATATAGAGATGGGAAAAAGGATTTACACATGGTCTTTATAGATTTGGAAAAAGCGTATGATAGGGTCCCAAGAGACATTCTTTGGAGGATTTTAGAGAAGAAAGGAGTACGAGTAGCATATATCCAAGCTATAAAGGATATGTATGAAGGAGCAAAGACTGCCGTAAGAACTCATGAAGGACAAACCGAAAGCTTTCCCATAACTGTAGGATTACATCAAGGCTCATCCTTAAGTCCTTACCTTTTTGCGTTGGTAATGGATGAGTTAACAGGACATATTCAAGATGATATTCCTTGGTGTATGCTTTTCGCAGACGATATAGTGTTGATAGATGAAACTCAGGAAGGGGTAAATGCAAAGCTTAACCTTTGGAGAGAAGTGTTGGAATCTAAAGGTCTTCGCCTAAGCCGATCAAAGACAGAATATATGGAGTGCAAGTTCAGTGCAAATGGAGGCCAAAACGAGTTAGGGGTGAGGATCGGAGATCAAGAAATACCAAAGAGCGACCGTTTTCGTTACCTAGGATCTATCTTGCAAAAGAACGGAGAATTAGATGGAGATCTCAACCATAGAATACAAGCTGGATGGATGAAGTGGAAGAGTGCATCCGGCGTGTTGTGTGACCGCCGTATGCCACTGAAGCTCAAGGGAAAATTTTATAGGACGGCAATAAGGCCGGCGATGCTGTATGGCACAGAATGTTGGGCGGTGAAACATCAACACGTACACAAAATGGGTGTAGCGGAGATGAGGATGCTTCGTTGGATGTGTGGGCACACGAGAAAGGATAAGATTAGGAATGAGGATATCCGGGGTAAAGTAGGAGTAGCCGAAATTGAAGGAAAGATGAGAGAAAATCGGTTACGGTGGTTTGGACATGTGCAAAGAAGGCCTACTGACGCTCCGATTAGAAGATGCGACTATGGGACAGAGGTTCAGGGCCGAAGGGGTAGAGGAAGACCTAGGAAAACTTTGGAAGAGACTCTAAGAAAAGACTTAGAGTACTTGGATCTAACGAAGGACATGACACAGGATCGAGCACAATGGCGTTCTAAGATTCATATAGCCGATCCCACTCAGTGACTTGGATTTTCCAAGTCTCCAACCGAGAAGTTTTCCTCACTCGGAAAAATTAAGGGAACACTACCCCAACCTACATGCTCCACTCAGAAAGCTTCAACATACAAGCTTCAACAAAAGAAAATTCAAAGAACTTAGCGAAGAAGGCTTTGGTGTATTTAACACAAATACGTTGAAATGAAGGAAAGCTTATTTATTGATATCCCCGATAAGCTACAAATATGTACATATACATGAGTCAAAATAAACACAACAAGAGGGAGCCTTCACAAAGGTTGCTTAGGAGAAGTCTCAGCAGTCGGTAGAGCCCCAGAAAGAGAAGGCACCGGAGGGGGATCATTTGGAGCCTCAGTACTGGACAGAACCCTAGAAGGAGGAGGCATCAGAGGTTGATCATTTGGAGCTTCATTACGCGGTACAGCCCCAGAAGACGAAGGCAATAAATGCCTTTGGAACAAACCCACAAATCTCTGATGATCAAGTAAAACCTGACCATCAGTTTCCTTCATCTGGTCAAGCTTCCTCTTCATGTTTGTAGCATAGTCATGTGCGAGCCGGTGCAACTGTTTATTCTCATGCTTGAGCCCTCTAATCTCCTGTTTGAGACTCATCACTTCAGCCGCCAATGATTCAACTTGGCGGGTTCGAGCAAATAGGCGTTGGGCCATATTAGACACAGAACCTGCACACTGAACACTGAGAGCCAGCGAATCCTTAACAGCTAACTCATCAGACCGTTTGGAAAGTAGTCTGTTATCTTTGGGAGTGAGAAGGTTCCTGGCCACCACCGCAGCGGTCATATCATTCTTCATCACGGAATCCCCAACGGTAAGAGGACCAGTAGGGGAGACGAAGGATGGGCGCCATATGTTGTCTGGAGAAGGCGGGGCTGCCTCTTCAACAAGGTTCAAGTCAAAACGACGGTCGGAGGGGCCAGACATTTTCAAAGGTGTTGAAGAGAGAAGAGGTCGG